TTCCCTTCCCTTCCCTTCCCTTCCCTTCCCTTCCCTTCCCTTCCCTTCCCTTCCCTATTCTATATCTTATTCTATCCCGGATTCTATCCCACATTCCATTTGATCCCCGTTCCATCCTCGCCGCGCGCCGCAGGGCACAACTCGGACGGCAAGTTCATCGCGCGGGCGCAGCGCATCGAGTACGACTGCGAGCTGGTGCCGCGGCGCGTGGCCATCTTCATCGAGAAGACCAAGGACGGCCAGATCCTGCCCGTGCCCAACGTGGTGGTGCGCGACGTGGCCTGCGGGGCCAACCACACGGTAAAGCCGGCGCCGGACGGGCACGGAGCTGCGGCTGGGCTCGGCGCCGTCCGCTCAGCGCCCCGTTCGTGCCCCAGCTGGTGCTGGACTCCCAGAAACGCGTCTTCTCCTGGGGCTTCGGCGGCTACGGGCGCCTGGGCCACGCGGAGCAGAAGGACGAGATGGTGCCGCGGCTCGTGAAGCTCTTCGACTTCCCGGGCCGCGGCGCCGCCCAGATCTACGCCGGCTACACCTGCTCCTTCGCCRTCAGCGAGACAGGTCGGGCCCGCGTCCCTCCATCCGTGTGTCCATACGGGCGGCCGGCGGGAAGGCGCTGCGCGCCACCCACCACCTTGTGCCCCGCAGGAGGCCTCTTCTTCTGGGGAGCCACCAACACGTCGCGCGAGTCCACCATGTACCCCAAGGCGGTGCAGGACCTGTGCGGCTGGAGGATCCGCAGCTTGGCCTGCGGGTGAGCGGCCGCGCCCGGGATCGCCGTCCCGGCCCGTCGGATCCCATCTAGCCCTGTGCAGCCAGGATGGCAGTCCTGTCCCGTCGTACCCTGCCCCATCCCATCCCATCATATCCTGTCATCCCGGTGCAGCCAGGATTGGTATCCCATCCCATTGAATCCCATCTGTCCCTATAYAGCCAGGATTGCTCTCATGTCCCRTCGTACCCTGCCCCATCCCATCATATCATATCCCATCCCATCGTATCCCATCATCCCCATGCAGCCAGGATTGCTGTCCCATCCCATTGTATCCCATGTATCCCTATGCAGCCAGGATTGCTATCCCATCCCRTTGTACCCTGCCATCCCATCATATCGTATCCCATCCCATCATGCCTGTCCCATCACGTCATGTCCTGTCCCATCCCATTATATCGTGCCGTTTCATATCCCATCGTGTCCCGTCTCATCCTGTCCCATCGTATCCCATGCCACCGTATCCCATATCCCGTGTCCTATCCCGTCATACCCTGCGCCATCCCGTCATGTTGTATCCCATCCCATCAGGTCCTGCCCCATCCCAATGTGGTGTGTTCTGTTGTATCCCATCCCATCCCATCCCATCCCATCCCATCCCATGTATCCCATCATATCATACCATATCCCATTCTCTCCTATACAATAAGACCTCCTCCAAACCCTCCTTTTCCCAACATCTTTTCCGACGCTGGCTCCATCCCCCTGGTGATTGCAGCTCTCCAGGCTCAGGGAGGCATTTGCCTTCAGGACATCCCGCTCACCCCCCACATTCCCAAAATCACCGCTTTTCCACCCAAATTACAGTGCCTGGGCAGGAATGTGCTGCAGGAACATCCTTGTCCCTCTTTCTTCCCATGCCAAGTTTATATTGGAGCCACTTTCATGGGAGCCCCTTTGCTTGACCATGCCCAGCCCGAGAGGCTGAATGTTTTAATTATATATATAATTATACATATAACATCTATACAAACGTTATATACATACAATGCATTTAAAATGCATTATATAAATTACAACTTGGGAATGTTTAGTGTATTTATGCTCAATGTAATAATTATATATGTTACATGAGGCAGATAAATGCAAATTTGTGCTTGCAGGAAGAGCAGCATCATCGTGGCGGCCGACGAGAGCACCATCAGCTGGGGCCCGTCGCCCACCTTCGGGGAGCTGGTGAGGGCGGCTCATCCCGGGATGCGCGGCGGGCAAAGGCGGGATGCGGGATGCGGGAGGTGGGATGCGGGAGGTGAGATGCGGGAGGTGGGAGGTGGGATGCGGGGTGCAGGAGGTGGGATGCAGGATGTGGGATGCAGGAGGTGGGAGGTGGGATGCGGGGTGCAGGAGGTGGGATGCGGCATGCAGGATGTGGGATGTGAGATGCAGGATGCGGGATGTGGGATGCGGGATGTGGGATGCGGGATACGGGATGCGGGTGAGGGATGTGGGATGTAGGATGCAGGAGGTGGGATGCGGGAGGTGGGATGCAGGATGCAGGAGGTGGGATGCGGGAGGTGGGATGTAGGATGCAGGAGGTGGGATGTGGGAGGTGGGATGTGGGATGCAGGATGTGAGATGCAGGATGCGGGAGGTGGGATGCGGGATGTGGGATGTGGGATGCGGGAGGTGGGATGTAGGATGCGGGAGGTGGGGTGTGGGATGCAGGATGCGGGAAGCGGGATGCGGGATGTGGGATGCGGGATGCGGGATCCCTGCTTCCCGGGGGCTCACTCGGCACCCGCAGGGCTACGGCGACCACAAACCCAAGTCGTCCACGGCGGCACAGGAGGTGAAGACCTTGGACGGGATCTACACGGAGCAGGTGAGGCCGCTTCCCGGCCCGGCTCTGGCTCGGGTTGGGAATGGACCGGAATGGGCCTCCCRCCACAATCCCTGCGCTCTCACTCCTTACTTTCCCCCTGCTGTTTTGAGGCAAAAAAGCACCYGCCTGGGTGTGTGCTGAGGCCTGACGCACTTGACACACCAGTGAGAGCTTCCCAGCGGCGGGAAGCAGAGGCAGAGGGGTGAAAAAAAATCCCTACTTATTTTTTTTCCCCCCGTTTTCCTTTTGCTCTCCTTCCTTTGGCACCCCTTTTCCCGCCCAGGTGGCCATGGGCTACTCGCACTCGCTGGTGATCGCGCGCGACGAGAGCGACGCCGAGAAGGAGAGGCTCAGGAAGCTGCCCGAGTACAACCCGCGCACGCTGTGAGGCCGCCGCGGGGGCCGCTTCCCGAGCCCCCTTCCCGCCTCCTCCCTCCCTTTTCCAAAGGGGGAGGCTCCAGGTGGAAGCGCATCCCGCCCGGAGCAGGGCCCTGGGGCAGACACAGGCTGTTTTTTTTTTTTTTTTTTTTTTTTTTTTTTTTTACTTTTTTTTTTTCACTTTTTCTGCACCCTGGCTGCCCGTCCTGGGGGGGTTCTCAGGTATGAAGAGCAGCACCCTGAAGCTTGGTGCAAGGGTTTGGCTTTCTTTTTGCCCCCTTTTTTTCCATCCCCCCCCGATTTTTCCTTCTTTCCCTCTTTTTTATTCTTTTCCCCTTTTTCCCATCTTTTCCCTCCCTTCCCCAACTTTTCCACCTTTTTCCCATCTCCCTTTTCCCTTGTCTTTGCCCCTTGTCTTTGGCCCTTGTCTTTTCTCCCCTCCTTTTCCCCCTTTTCTCCCCTTCTTTCCCCCTTTCTCCCCTCCTTTCCCCCCCTCTTCCACCCTTTTTCCCCTCTTTTCCTCCCTTTCTCCCCCATTTTCCCTCCATTTTCCCCATTTTCCCCCCGTTTTCCCCATTTTCCCCCCATTTTCCCCCTGTTTTCCCCGTTTCCCCATTTCCCCCTGTTTTCCCCCTTTCCCCCCATTTTCCTCCCTCTCCCCATTCCGTGCACTGTGCTGGAGAACCGAGGTGCCTTTTCCCGCGGAGGCGACGCCGCCGGTTTCCCGCTCCCGCCGCCGATCCGGGAGCCTTGCAGGACTTGACCGAAAACGTTACTATTTTTTTTTTCTTTTTTTGCCTTCATTTTTTAACGTTTCCTTTTAGGGGATTTGGGGGTATTTTTTGTCTTTTGGGGTGGGGGGAATGCGTGGGAGAAAAAAATATCTTCCAGGACCAGGAGAGCAGCCGGGCGGAGAATTTGCACCTTTGGCTCCGGGGCCGTTTTAGCAATATTAGCCCTTTCCCACTTGCCATCCCATTGGGGGGAAGGAATCCCAGGAAAAGGGTATTTCAACAGTAAATTTGAAAAAAAAAAAAATCCATGTTCCCCCCCCAAATAAGTCCTGGGTGAGCAAAAGAGGAAGGGGCTCCAAAAATAATAATAAAAACCGAATAAAATCCAAGGATCCCAGAAGGGGTTTTGATTGAGGCGAGACAAAAGGTTCCCGTTTTAGCGCTGTTTCTTCTCGCGGTGTTTTGTTTAATTTTTTATTATTTTGGGTTTTTTTTTAATATATATATTTCTCGGAGTAAATGTTTCAGATAAAGTGCCGTGGTTGTTGCTCGCCGCCGTCCTCCAGCCCGGGCACCACACGGGGTCCACATCCAGCCCCAGCGCCGCCTCTCCCTCGCATCATCCCACCTTCGCGTTTCTGAAATCTAACTTTTTAATCCTACTTTTAACATTATTTTTCAGTCTTATTTTAAGAATCTTTTAATAATATTTTTATCCGAACTTGTTTCACTTTAAAAAGTTTTCACCTTAATAATTTTCACCCTTTTCCCTCTTTTTTTTTACATTTATCCCCTCTTTTTCCCCCCTTAATGCTTTTCCCCCTTTTTACTTTATTTTTTTACCTTATTCTTTCACTTTCTGCCTCAATTCTCCCTCATTTTTTTTCTCTCATTTTTTCTCTTAATTTTTCCCCTTAATGTTTTTCGCCTTTAATTACCTTATTTTTTTACCTAATTATCCCCCCTCAATTTTCCCCTCCTCAGATTTTTCCCTCTCAATATTCCTCCTCAAATTATTTCCCCCTTATTTTTGCCCCTCAAATTGTTTCCCCTCATTGTTTTCCCTTTATTTTCCCCCTTATTTTTTTTTGCTTTCCCCCTTTTTTTGCCTTTCCCCCTCTTATTCTTCTCCCCTTATTTCCCCATCCTTATTTCCCCCCTTTTTTCCTCCCTTATCCCCCCTTTATCCCCCCTTCCCCTCCTC